AACAACTAAAGGTGGCATAGATACTTTATTATGGTATAATATTTAAATATATGCCTGAGAAACACATAATATTGCCCCTTTAAACAAAACGTGGTCAGTGTTTTGCTTTGGCGTTTGTACAGAATAATCAGAATGATACAAGTGTGTTATTTCCTCTGTTAAATACAAGCAGACTACTGGCACTGATTAATTTGGATCTTTAAATCAATTGTTTGGGGCAGGAAAGTTACTGTAGTGTATTATACAGTAATTCAAACCTTTATTATCATGATAAACTAATACCATAACTAAAAACATTTAACATAAATGTCCTGATGCATCTCAGTAATCCAGGTAAAAAAATCAAAAAGAAAAAAATTGTATAGCTTTAACACAAACTGTCAACTACCAAAGAATCACCTGATCAAATCCCATAGAGGTGATTAGACCCYTTCAAGTCAAACTCCTTGTATGTGTAAAATCCTTAGCGAAATAAAGAGATTCTTATTCATGCCTGTTTATAGCTTCTAACTAAGGCAACATGATTCATTCTCGTAACCACAAAGAAACACAACAAAACCAAACAAAGGTTAAAAAAAAGCCACCTGTGATTAAAACATGCAGCACAGTGACCCCAAGGAGGGGAGGAAGAGAAGGAGCGGGAAGAAGTGGACTACACGTGGAGACGAAACACCATGTGAGTTTACAGGCACGATGGGGAAAAACAGAAAGTGACAAACACGATTCCTCTACCTGAGCACCTCGGAGAGCGAGGAGTCGCTGTCATCCGACCTGGAGGCAGAAGAGGAGTGAGGAGAAGGAGAGGGAGGGTCGAGGTGGGAAGAGGGAGAGGGTTAACCACGCTAAGAAAAGACAGAAGGGTTACTGGCAAAAAGGGTTAAAAAAGGGAGGAACGACTAGTAGAGASGATTTCAAACTGGAAGGAACCAATAAAGCTTGTCCAATGATAGACAGCTCATMATGAAGTGAGCATTTTTATTGTTTTAGTTTTTTTTTAATACAACACTGAACAGGCTTTTGGTGTTAGAACAAATATTAGGGGTTAAAGRTCTGAAGACAGAGAGATTTTAAGGGAAATGWTGATTTTTACATTCTGGATAGGAACTGAGAGGAGAAGACTGGGGTCACTAAAATCACTAGCAGCTAGTTAGCTTAGCAAACAGCAGCTAAAACACGACAGTGTGCAGAAGTAAAAATGAACAAAGTACATCACACCGTGGAGCTTTGTGAGTCTATGAGGTGCTATTCAAGCTACGCTACTGAAGATAATCTAACCTCCAAATAAAGGTTCACGTGTTCAATTCCCAGATCCTGCAGCGTGCCAACGCAGAAAGCACTGAACGTGTGTGTGTGTGTATGTGTGTGTGTGTGTGTGTGTGTGTGTGTGTGTGTGTGTGTGTGTGTGAATGAGAAACATTACAAAGAGCTTTGCAAACCCAGAGGTACAAAAGATGCCATATTCATCATTTAAACAGTTATTTACATAAAATTCTGGAGTAAGTTGTATGCATAAACAGCTGCTGCAGCTCGCACATCCAGCAGAAATWTTCCCATTCATGTGACATGAAATTTACAACAATATAAATGTTTACACAAAAGGATTCATATGAAACACTATAAATAAAGTAGACAACATTCTTCATAACCTTTTCACAGAACTCCACTCCAAAAGGTCTAAACTGTCCCTTTAAAAAATCTTTATATATTGTGAATTACTSCTACTAAATCAACCTAGAATGAATAAAATGCCTATCTTGTGTTTTTTATGCATTCTGTTTTATTATTAGGAAAAAAACATGCAAAATGCCATAAATGTTTCCACATTAAAGTAGGAATATTTGTTCATAAAAGATATGAAATAAATTGTGACTTGTAACAAGTCAGATTGATCTTTTCTTAAGCTGAAATCACCCAGAAAGTGAAGTGAATGTGGCCCCTAAATAGCTGCTTCATGTAAAATAACATTATTATTTAACTGCACAACTCCTTAATCACCACAACTGTAAAGAACACAACTATATTATCTTAGATAAATTTGTCTGAATGTAGAGAAACATATGCTTGTGGTGAAAACTTGATCAAACATTTATACAGCGGGCATACAATAATGACACAACAAAATTATGTCATTTCCTTCCACTTAAAAAAAACACAAACTGAAACCATACGTGAAAATAAAAATACATATTCACTCCGCTCCATTCTTCTGCCTCAAGTTCAATTTGAACCATTTCAACTAAATAAAAAGCCCTAAACATAAATACCCTCCCACACTGTGTTAATTCAAAATGGCTACCATTAGCAACAGCTGCATAGGAAGATGACAAGTGCGATCTCATTTACCTACCCCTGGTCCAGATAATGAGGAACCACAGGATCCTGCGCACACATCGCATGCAGTTATTAACACATCCACAACACCCTGACTCATCTCTCACAGCCACCAATTAGGGCTCCACAAAGCTGGGAAATACACTGACTTAATAACAGTTGCAACAATCAAAAAAAATAAAAACTTTATAGCAGAGGCGGGGTGGAATTAACTGTTGACATTTGTCAGAGAGGAAAGCAGGAATTGATTGTGAGCAGGAAGGGAAGCAGACAGTTTGATGTCGTAATGTAACATTTACACATTGAAAGGCAGCTTTTTTTACATTTATCTGTTCTAACAGGATAAAAATACAGGCGTCCACTTCAACGCCACAACTGAAATACATTTCACAGAGTTGTTTAAATCACTTCATTTAAGATCGCACAAGCTGATGTTTCGTTTCAGCCGACAGAATATTAATAACTTACATCACTGCCATGAACAACATGCAATCTTTACTGATAATAAATGCTTAACACATTAAACCAGAAAGTTTTCTATTTGATCTGTCATGGTTGCTCATTTCTTGCACATTTCTGCCACCTACCACTCCGTTCCAACAGCCACTTGTCCCTGCAGATTTAAAGTCCGATGAAGATTAATCAGCACTATTTCTCTTCACTAAACCTTTTACATTTTAAACTACAGACAGGAAGGAATAAAAAGAAAGGAGTGCRTCACAAGGAGATGAGGTAGGGGGAAAAATATAAATATATATATTTTTTTCTGTGTAAAGCAGCACTCACTTGTCCAGAGCAGAACCCTGGGTTTGGTTGCTGGTGAGCCTGGAGAAGACGTTGCGGTCGTTTCTGGTCCGCAGAGGAGGGGAGGAGGGGGGAGTGTAACCATCAGTGGGCCTGATGAGCAGCAGAACACAAAAAAAGTGTATGTAAAAAGTATTAAAAGGGTTATTTATTTGCAGACATGAAGACCTTCATTTTTAATGTATATACCTGTATGCACGGTCATAAGATTTCCTTCTTGTTAAAGGGGAAGTGTCGTAACCCCGGGACTGCCTGGGACTGACAAACAAAAAGCAAGCAAATAAGCAAACTTTACTGGGATTTCTCAAGGTTTTATAAGTTTAAACAACATTTTTCATTCTTGTTAATTAAAGGCAAAGGTCTTTCAGAATTAATGCAAATGTCATTGACTTTTTATTTCTTTTCAAAATAAATATGAAGATTAAATAAAAGATTTTTTTAATTCTTGTGCTTAATGAAGCACCAGAGCGACTGACTCGAGTAAATGAATGCCCGTTTCAGCTCAGTGATCACAACCGCCTTTGTTTGATTCTCCACGACTTACAAGGTGTGACCCCTAACAGGCAGGCTGATGGTGCGGGACGCACGGTCCTTGTAATAGGGGTCTCGCAGGGGCAAGCTTAAGCCCAGACTCCCTGGAACGAGACTCAGGCCGTCCTCCTGGATGTCTGTCAGCGAGGCCAGAGACTTGGTGATGTGCTGCTGTTTGCTGCCTGATGACGGGTCCAGAACCGGACCGAGGTATTCCGCTGACACCGCCTTCATCTGGCCCGACAGACGAGGCTCCATCTGGGTGAAATACGTGAATTATTTTGTGATCCAGATGTTAAAGAGTTAAAGAGAAAAAAATACTAAAACTGTATTTTTAATTTAATTAAGGCAGCCTGAAAACAGCCTGAAAATGATGAACGTTGTTTGTGTCAAATCTGGTGTTTTCCCAGCAGGAAGACTGCAGAGTTTTTTTTTTGTTGTTTTTTTGTTTTGTTTTGTTTGTTTGCTTCTACTGCCCCCTTGTGGTGAAAAGTAACAATTTAAAAAATGAAACGTGTGACAACAGCAATAATGACAGAAAAATCAAGACATGTCATTGACAAGCTGTGTTATAGTTCAAACAGAAATGAACCAGTTTGTACCTTTAATTTGAAATCATCCTGGCTGTTTGATTCCTTCATCTGTGAAACACTAAAAAAAGAAAAGTGAAGAACTGTAATAATGTGTTCCGAAAACTGTACTGGGTTTAAACTTTTTTGTTTTGTTTTGTTTTCTGTTTGGTAAATATACAAAACAATAAATATTGTTTCTTTGTTGTTTATCTTTATTAGTTGCCTGATGTGTGCAGAGCTCACCTGCTGTCAGAGGCTTGGCTGAACTCGGAGGGCTCCTCGTCTGTGCTGGCATAACCATTTTCTGGAAACACACAAAGTTCTTCTGTGAATGTATGTCGAATATGAGAACTTGTATTTCTTTTTTAAAAGAATATACAAATTTTGAAATAATTCCAGCAACACATTTAAAACCACTGTGTTGCCCAGCTTGTAAGATTCATTCTTCTTATTTTCTTGTTTGACAATCAACTTTAGCTGATACATTAGGGACCTGTGTTGATTTATTTTTTGCTTTATGAGTGCATCTGATCTGAGCTACATTCAAAAAAAGTTTCACATTGATTGTTTTTAACTCAAGAGCTGCAATGGTATAACATGATCAAAATGCAACCATTTTGTTCCAAAATCTGTTCGACATGAATGAACTTTGACAAAAATGCAAGTAATGCATGTGCAGCCGCATACAAACACAGGTTAATCTTAAATTTAGAAGCCATAGGAAAACAAATATCTGTGATAACTAGCTTTGAGGATGCAAGTTATTAAATTAAGAAATAAAATTTAAAACGAACCATCAGCAAGGTTTTTTTGTGCCATTTTCCATTAATCTTAATCACAGAAGCTATGACTGGTGTTTTTCAAGTTRTATAACTTCCATCACACAAAACATAAAACAAAAACACTTTTACTTTTATTGCAGCATCTACATCTCAGCTGTCATTTGTATGAAGACTTCCCTACAGTATTTGAAGCTTTAACTGTTATCTTGTAAATGAGTAATGCAGTTTTCCACTCAGAAATATTAGGGTTTATTTGGCCATACTATTAAACGTCTAATCAATACATTTTGTTTCATTTGTAGTTCAGGAAGCAGATCAGTGCTGGAAGAAGCAGCATGAGTCAAGACAAACAATGGAACAAAAAAATAAGATGTTAAAGAGAAATAAAAGGAGTATTTTCCCTCTGATATATTATTCTGTGTCTGTACGGTCATCCTTCACCTTGCTGGACGTTGTGAATGAGAGCCTGGAGTTCAGGGTTGTATTCAGCCTTTTCACGTAACGCATCCAGGATCATGTGATTGTGAGACGAGCCGATCACATCGGTCTGCCTCAGCTGGCCTTCGAGCAGCCGGATCTGGGTCTCCTTCTGAGCCACCTGTAAACTCTGCACACACACACACACACAAACACACAATTTATCATATTGCATTACAAAGAGGCAACACTAGATGGCACAGTAATACCACTTACTGCGCCCACAGAACATCCCACCTTGTCAATGGAAGCCTTCAGGAAGTGGTCCAGCAGGTGACGTGCTTCAGCCAATGAGCAGGAGCTGATCACTACGGAGGTGTCCACAGAGTCCAGCTCATCCTGTTAGGAAACACAGAGTCACTGAAGGTGTCCTRACAGGCGGTCAGTGAGTAACAACAGTAAGAGTTTAGTTTCTTACCTTGGTTTCCTCTATCTGCACTATGGTGGCCTGGCATTCCGACAGACTGTCGTTGATGTAGTCTATATTTGCATTCAGCACCTCTATGTCCTCGTTGATTTCCTGAAGGAGGCGGTCCTCGGCCTCTGGTCCCTCCCCGTCTGCCATCAGTACCTGTCTCTTGTGTGAAAGCGCCTCCTGCTGAGCCGTCAGCTCTTCCCGCTTCTGATTCAGCAAAAACATGAAACGCAGAAAATGCCAAGTCAGCAAAACTTTTCTGCAAATGTAGAACCTAAAAGCACATTTAAATTGTTCAATTATCATCAAACTGATACTGAAACTGTGTTTTGTTACTGTTTAACAAGAAATAAAGTAGACCCAAGAGAACTTGTGGTCCATTCAGATAAAGAGGAAGGTCGTCACACCTAATGATTTATTTCTGATCAGCACTTCTTTCTTCGGCTGAAACTATGAAGTGATGGTAGGAAACAGACCTGTATTTATTTTGCCCTAAGAGGAAGAACAATGTGTCCGTACCTTGATAAGGCGATCCATGTCAGCTTCCACATTAGAAATGGTCATTCTCTGCATGACGATGTCCATAATGCGACGCTCGAGGGTTTGCCACTTCTGACGGGCCGACTTGGAGAAGCTGGTGGTTCTTCCTGCAGCTGCAGGGATGCCCAGACCTGCTGGCTTCCGCTGCAGCTTCCTCCTGCTGCGGGAACAAATTTAAAATAACTATTTCTGCCTTCTACAACTAATCATTAAAGTAAATTTTCAGCATAAAGACATTGGGCCGCATGCAAGAACATGTTCGTATTCTTATCCTAAATTTCTCTTACTTTTGTTCGTATRAAGGGTTCACATGAACATGTCACGTCAGATTCAACAAACTCTTCTATCTTCAGGAAAAGTGTGTAAATGAGCTGCATAAACTGATGAATGTGTATCAGCTGAGGAGAGGTGATTTACATAATCACCACCCCAAAAACACCATGTAAGGTAAAGTTTCCTGCCCGACATACCAGGAAGTGTCCATTCATAAATGACATCGCAAAGTAAAAAGAAGAACTTCATGAGTTCGGAGATTGAAGTCCTGCTCTCAGAAATCCAGAAAAGAAAATCCGTCATTTTTAGCAGCGTCAGCTGTGGAATTATAGGACCTGCTAAAGCCGAGGAATGAAATGATGACTGTTGTTAATGTCGTGTCTCCTGTGGGTCGTATATAATCACAGAAATAAAAATCTAAATCTTTTTCATCTCTCTCTAGTCCTGCTCTGGTTTTTCGTTGGTCAAATATTTTTAATTTAAGTGTAAACAACTGTGTTAAATAGTTTTCATTTATTCAGAAGAACAGTCGCGCACCGCTACCCCCACCATCGCAATAAGTGTCAGATGCGGTTCTGAAAAAATCATTTTAAACTGTCTCCAAACTTCAATTAATGCATAATTTCAGTTGGATTTTAGTTTGAGATCTTCATATTAATATTGTAGTGTTATACAACAGCATTAATAGCCAATTTAATTTAATTTAATCAATTTATGTTGTTAAAATCTAATTCCAGTTCAAACAGAATAACCTATTGTCAACATAATTATGGAGTGCGATTTATTTTCAACTCAAAATATCTTCAAACTAATGAAATATAAAGTTATTAGTGAAGAAAACCCGCCTGGATAACAGCAGACTGACTGCTCGTAAAATATACGACAGGTCTGGACCACTCGTGAATTTTGTTCATGTCTGAAAAAAAACCTTAGAATACGAGAAAATTGGTGAATGCCACAAATTCTCCTAAATCACTCGTACGCACAACTTAAGAACAAATCTGTTTGTACGAACGGTTCTTGCATGAGGCCCATTGTGTCAGCACCTATCTCCATGTTTACGGTAATAACCGTGCAGCCACAGCTCTCCTTACCCAATGACCCGCGTTCCGTCCATGCTGCCCTCGCTCTCCCCCAGGTAGCCGTACGTGCTGTTCTTATTGTTCCACTGACGCACCAAGCCGCTCACCGTCCTCGCACCCTCCGCTTCAGAGCTGCTCGCCGTGGTGCTGGCCGACAGATCGGCCCCAGAGTCCGTAACCGGGGGGGTCTGGTTCCAACGGGCCACGCGCCCGGCCACACGGTCCGACATGGGCTTCGTCAGGCGCCGCAGGGCGGTCACTTCCTGGGTCTTCCTGCGCAGCACCAGCTCCTGCTGCCGCTTCTGAGACTCCAGCGCCCGGATCTGGTACTGGTGACAATTTACCGTGGAGTTTTAATTTCTGGGTGATTTCTTGCTTAAAATGCTACTTTTATTCTTGAACTTGGTGAATTTTTTTTTCCACACGACAGACTTACAAAACCTTTCAAGGACTTAAAATCCTGAACAAAAGCATGAGTGGCACCTAAAGTGTAATTATTGTTCTCCATCCTTCAGTTAAAATAAACAAAGATAGAACTTTAGGACCTTCAGGAAGTTTGAAGAACTCAAAACTGAAATCTAATTTAAAAGAATGAAAGAAAATCTGCTTCCTAGGAAGCAACATACTAAGATGTGAAGAATAATTTAGAACTTGTGCAAACAGACATCACTGAACAGAGGTGTTCCTAACCTCTTGTCGTCGCTGCTCCTTCTTGAGCTGTGCAATTTCACGATTCCGCTTTGCCTCCACCATCCTCCTCCTCTGCTGCTCCTCCTTCATCTGCTTCATCAGCGCCACCTGAAAGAGAGCAAAAATAAGCAACACACTTCATCTCTGCTCTGATTCCTCCCGACTCTTCCTGCCGTCCTCCCACCTTGGCCTTCTTCATCTCGTTGACCTCGGTCTGGAGTTTCTTCAGCTCTCGTTCGTACCGGCCCTGGTTTTTGAGGAGACGGGCGTGCTCCTTTTGTGCAGCCTGTAGCTTGAGCAGGTCGCGGTTCATCTCCTTCAGCCGCTTCTCGTACTCCTGACGGATCTTGTTGGCTTTCTCCTCCGTGTAGTTCTCCATGGACACTGCGCAGCCAGGAGAGATTAGTTGCAGGGAGGCTGCTTTATTTTGCACYCCGACAACATGAGCCAAAACTCACTGAGGTTCTGCAGCACCCGGTCCCTCTCCAGCTGCGTGTCACGGATCTTATTCTGCAGCAGGATGAGCTTCTCCTCATACTGCAGCTTCAGCATCAGCAGCCGCCGTTGGCTGTTCTCTAGCTCGTCTATCAGCTTCTGCTTGATCTCTATCTCACAGGTCAGGTCTGCCAGGTCTGCCTGGAAGTTGGCTGCAGGACGAAGGCAAGGGGTGGGGGATAAAATCACTTTAAAATCATTCTTTGTATTTATTTTATTTAATTTTTTTACATATTTTTCCACATCATCTTTTAAAACAGTTTGCTTACTTATCTTCACTGTAAATGAGGACCCAGTTTGATCAATCGGTACCTTTTTCATCAGAGTCTGAGTCTGAATCCACCAGACTTTCATCGCTCTCAAAATCCTCCTCTTCCTCCCTGCCCTCCTCCTCATCTTCACCTTCATCCTCATCGCAGCCACTCTCCTCCTGCAGTGGAGACATGATGTCCTAAACAGAGAGACGAAGTGTTACAACCTCGGACTCCGCTTGTAACACATTCATTTTCATTTTCAAGCTTTTATTCCGTTTCCTCAAGGACCTATTTCCTATTAGCTAGCACGCGGCCGTCTTATACCTCGGTGTAGTTGTCATCCGAGTCGACCTCTCCGTTCTGTCCATTTTCACCACTTCGCCTGCTCTCTCCGTTCTCCTGAGTGTGCAGCTTCACTCGTTTCTTTAGACCTTTCTCCAATTCAGGACTGTGGAAAGAAAAATGTACAAAAAAAATTACTTACCACAGCAGGTTTTATCTCCAAAAATCAATTTAGTTTGTATAATAACCCTGAAAGAGAAACCCAGCTGACCCTACAGAAACACTTCCCCCGAGAAAGACAGGGCGTGCTCCAAATGTCCACTGTGAAACACTTTGGACGAGTTGCCAAACGATAACTGAGCCATCGAAAGCAATTTACAAAGTCCACTTTAGCACATCAGTGTTCATCCTCCCTCTTTTGTTCTTGGGCTTTATTAGCAGTTTGATTTTCCCCTTTGCTCACACCTGAACAGTTTTTATCACCAGCCCCATCTTTACTTTCCCATCTACCTTCACTTCCATGCTTTTATACAATTAGTCTGTTAGTTTTAGCTCTCTTCACTCTTGCGACTCAATAGCCAGCCAACTAAAAAGCTTTTAGTGTCCAATTCAGCACCGACAGCATTCCATTTCTCCCAAAAGTCATAATTGACTTTGAAGGGGCTCTAAAATAAAAAGAAAAACGTAAGCTGGGGCATACACGTGGGGAGAGAACACTATGTCTAAAATGTGCACAGGGTCTCCCTCACCTCATCCTCCTCTGCCTCCTCTCCTTTTTCTTTAGCCTCTCGATGTCCAGCTTGGCGCGGCGCAGAACGTCCGTCATCTCGGCCTCCATGGACATGGGCGCGGGGGAGGAGCCGAGGGGGTGGCCGGGGGCGGGGCTTAGACCGGCGGCCGGGAACGTGGAGCGTGAGGACAGCCGAGCCACCTGCCGTCGCAACGATTCGTTCATGGCTTCGCTCTCGAGAAGTTTGGATCTGTGGGGAAAAGAAGAGGGCGAAGATAGAAAGAGACACTTAAAACTCACCGGATGTGAGAAAGAGCAGTCTCTGCTGCGGTGGAGACTAGAGAGCTCGACACACGTGGAGCGACAAACGACAGGTGGCTGTCATCACCACCAAGGTGCAACCCAACACACGGGGAGATAGAAACGGCAGCTCTCGCGTCGCTTGTCTCCAAAAATATCGATTGGTTCTTCCTTTACTTGTTATAGATTTTATTGGTGGTTGGTTTATATACGGTAGGTGTGTACAAACTATGGTTAATCAAATCTTGGGACTCAAATGATAATGATAATATTGAGAAACTTACAAAAGACTAAGATACGACTTCAGGTGGAGAAAATTTACCTGACAACTTCACCAACAAGTTCCCATATGGCTGACTTTTTTGTGTGTATCTTGGCCGTCACTTCAAATAGTGTCATATAAAATAGAAACGTTGGACAAAATATTGTTTTCCTCCATGTTGAAAGTGGTTCCTGACTCACTGATTCATTGAGACCCTCGCTGATTGGTTGTAGTGCCATGTGACAAAAGTTGAACATTTTTAAACTTCTACAATCATACATAGGTGAGATAAAGCATCCTGGGAAATGTACCAATTTAAAATCTTAGCTGAATTTTAATGGTGAATTGGTGTTAGATAAATTAGATTTTATTATAGAAAGCCTGGCGATCTCACCTGAGTTCTTCCACTTCTCTGATGTACTTCTGTATTAAAGTTCCAATCTCTTCAGTGCCTTCATCTAAAGGTCAAAGGAGAATGTACTTCGTTAAATTAGCTTTAACAAATTAGGCCTTAAAAGCTTAATTAAAGGAAAAACGCAGAGTGCAAGGGAAGTTTGAAGTGGTGAAGCATCTCTCTCACGTACTTGATTTGGTGAGCAGAGTGCTGACCTCATGGGCCAGAAGATGAGTCACACGGGTGTTGAGGTGATCGATGGTCTCCTGCATGGCCTTTACTCGGAGCCGCAGCGTCTCATTATCTCGCTGCAGCATGGCGTTCTCTTGGTACATGTCGCTGTAGCCCTCGGAACCGTCCTCGCATGCGACACGCTTCCCCTGCACCACGTAAACAGCCGACAAAACATGAGCAAAAATGTCCGAGCTGAGAAACAAACACATGCACTGCGAACAAAATGTGACCGTTTAAAAGAAGTTAGTGTCCTCGAGGGGCTATTGTTGAATTTTGAAGGCTTGACGCTGACAAAAATCCTGTTGTTTAAGCCAGAAACACAGGGTCATTTTGTAATCCAGTCACAGCTCACAACAACTTCTGGACTCCACTCACATCACATCATTTATTTAACAACATGGAGGTCACCTCAGAGCCTCTTGTCCATCACTTTGCTTTAATAACCTTAGTAACCTACTTAATGCAGCACCAAACTGACGGCATAAACGCCTGCTTGGTTGAAAAAGACCAGGAGGAGAGAGATTAAGAAAAACCTTCAGCAGAATTTTGTACCTGTGCTCGGTGGTGAGCCCAGCTGACCAGAAAGTTTGGTTCACTAACCACTAATCCACTAAACGAGAGCTTTAGCTTAGCTGATGTTAAACCACTAAACAGATAAAAGATTAGTGGAAGCTATGCCTAACCACTAACCTCTAAGACAACTACTTCCAGTTGAAGACTGGTGGGACTGACACAAACCTGTTAGTCTTCTATTGTTTTAACTTAAATGTAGGTGGGATCCTAAAAGCAAATTGTCCTATCCAAACCAGAGTTAGTTCTGTCTAACTTGTGATACTTCCAGTTTACCGCTTTCAGAATAAAGCATCTCTTTGATCGAGCTTGTATTTTTAAAAATACTGTTTGAATTTAGTCAAAAATGAATAGAAAAAAAATTCTCTAACATATTTTACAAAAATTCAATTGTTTTAATTGTTTTTTAAATGTTGCTAAATGTTATTTTGTTTCTTTTTGATGCTCTTAGTTTGAAGTTTATTTGCTAAACTAGCTACTGTATATGTTACACAACACATCCAGCAGGGCTTGTAAGAAGGGATAGATTATATTTAATTGGGGAATAATGGCATAAAAATACAAGTTTTACACTTTATTACACTCAGTTAGGTTTCACTAATTTTAAGTCAACTAAAAAATTTTTAGTGGACATAAAATTGATGGAACCTACTCTGTCTGCTAACGGTTTTCAAAGTTATCAAATAAATAAATAAATAAATAAATAAATAAATAAAACTAAAACTAATCTGCTTGATGAAACTCTAGATCTGTCTAGACCAGTGGTTCCCAAACTTTTTATCTTCTGACCCACAAAATATCCATGGCAAAAACTTGTGACCCCAAATATTACTGGTCTGAGTAAACAAACTTTGTTAATATCCCTAAAAACACAGGCTTTTTGACAATCTAAACAGCTGTAACGCAAATATAAATTCTTATTTATACTTATTTTGTGTTTTTGTAATAGTTATAGGGAAAATATTACATCAGCAATTATTTTATTACCCTTTAAATTGATTTCTGGAGATTTTCCAAGGTGCTTCATGATCCATAATTGGGTCCCAAGCCCAACTTTGGGAACCAAAGTGCAATGGTTCCCAAACTTTCCAGCTTTTGACCCACAAAATAGTACAAAACAGTAGCAGAGACCTGTACCCAAAACTATTTTTGGATGTTAAACATTTGTATCAGGTCAACTAAACATGGGCATAGTAACAATATTTTTATCCTACATTTATCCATTTTAAATATACTAACCTCACTCCTTTGTAACAACTAAGGCAAAAATGTAATTAATTCAGAAAATCTTTTCAGGACCCCACCTTGATGTTTTGGGACCCCACTTTGGGTCCCAACCCCAACTTTGGGAATCACTGGTCTAGACTACATTAGTCAAATAGTGAAACTGGTCCCACTACTGCCCCTTCTTCATTCAATATTTAACTCCTTATAAAACAATATATTCTTGTCTGTGATCAGAACATGTATTTATTGCTCTGTAAAACGCTGACATTATGGAATTTAATCTTCTTAATCGTGATACAGTATAGATGAGTGGATGTGTAAATGTTTTAGAAGGAGTTTTTAATTTCAAATTCATCATTTGCTGCGGCAGGAATGGCCGTCGTAACACAGTTCACTCTTTTGCAGCTTTGTCCATTTTTCTTCTCCTCAGTTTTATCCATCACATTCCCCCCCCTCTCTTATTATAACCGATTTAATAAATCAGTTACAATGACACCAGTGTGTTAACACTTTTTTTGTTAACTTCCCTTTTATCTCCTTCCTTCACCTATTCAACAACCTTTTTCGTCTCCTCCAAACTCCTCCTTTCTGTATGCCTGTACCAGCATCTCCCTCACTTCCTGTCGGCTTTTTATTTATCTTCACCTGACATTCATCACTCACCGCCTTGTACTCCATCAGCTCCATCTGGAGTCGGACTATCTCGGCACGCAGGGCGTTGATCTGCTGGCTGGTCTTGTCCTGATTCACCACCACCTTGTTCTTGATGTTTCGGGCTCGATTGGCGTACTTGAGCGTGTTCAGCGTCTCCATGAAGTCCCGGTCTGACGGGCTGACGCAGGCGATCATTACGGTGTGGCTGCAGAGGCAGGGATGATCGGCTGTCACAGCTGCTCAGGATGAACTATTACCTTCTTACAGACGTCTTCTTTAAATAACTGTTAGTGCACGCGTGTGTACCTGTTGCCTCCCAGGGAGTCTTGTAACAGTCGGGTGAGTTTGGAGTCTCTGTACGGGATGTGTCCTGCCTTTTTTGTCTGATCACCTAATGCGCTGATCACATTTCCCAAAGCGAGCTGACCCATGGAAGAGAGACATGTAAAACAGCAGTTTAACACTAAGACGCCAAATTGCAGAGGGGGAGCTGAGCAATGTGCAACATCTGAGACCAGAAAATGGTTGTGGTTGTGGCGTCTGACCCACCAGGCCACAGTTGATAGAGATTCCCTCTCGGGCCCTTTCTCCCGTGGCTCCAGTGCGTTTAAGCCTCTCAGAGCCAGCCAAGTCTACAAAGTGGAACTTGGCCATCAGCGTCTCATACTCTGGCTGAGAAATGGGACCAGAGTCCACACCATTCACCTCCTCGTTCCCCCCTCCTCCTCCATTCTGCTAGAGAAACAGGAGAGAAAAAATTAAAACACAGAAGCAGGCTTCTTTAAAATTCCAGCGTTTAACTCAAAAGTGGCAATGGTTTCATCATCCTGCATACGACTAAAACGAGCACAAATTTATTTATATTCCTCTTGCATGCTCAATAATAGCGGCATACAGTGGAAATTCTGCCTTACTTTTTCAATAAAAGGTGCAGGTAAAAAAAGATCAAACCAAAATAAAAATAGCCTCTCATGCTGAACCTCCCTGTCGTGATTCTCAGATTATTTCAGTCATCTCTTATCTTGCTTTTTTTTTTCCAAACCTCCAGTCTCACCATTTGCAGCTGTTGACAGACTCTCATCTGACAGAGGTGGATGGTGAAGATGGCGTGTGAGCGGGAGCTTTGGGCGTTCATCTGCGTGCTGGCTGTGGTGCGGGACAGAGCGCCCAGCTTCAGACACTGCAGCAGCTGAAACACACACGCACAAAAGATGAAAGAGATTTGTTTTGTTTAAAAAGATAACTCCGCTGGATGCAAAGTTATTTGGTTAACACTGTTGCCTTGCAGCAAGAAGGTTGCTGGTTTGACTCCTGACCTCTGCATGAAATTTGAATGTACATTTCAGGCATGAATTGGGTCATTTTGGTTTCCTCCCACAGACCAAAAACATGCATTAGATTGTTTGACAGCTCAGGTCTGAGTGAGAGGTCATGATTGAGAGGTGTCTTTGTGTTCCTGTGATGGACTGGTGACCTAGAACTGACCTTAGACAGGAACAAGCAGGTAAAGAAAGTTGATACACAGAAAGTTTTCTATGGGAARTTCATTTCCAAACTTTCTTCAAACACTACTGACCTTTTTCATCCCGACTGTAACCGTTGATATACGACTCTCATCAACTATTACTCACTCCTGTAACTGCAAATCAGTGAGAATCTCAAAAATATTCAGACATCTTGATTATAAAAGACAAAAAAAAGTACTTATGGGGTGAACTGGTCTGGGTTGAGCGCCCTTCATTTGAGTCGAGCCTCCTTTATCATCGTTAACTATTTTTCTTGTTTTTGATAATTAATCACCAAATATTGGCAGCTTCTATGCTTCATATATTTAGCTTTTATCACATTTTATTTCAGTCAGTCAGCATTCATCCACTTCTTTGATCAGGAACATCACTCATTTTTACATAAACATTTCAGAGTCTATTTATTGGACTATTTCTGCTATCACAGGAAGAAAGTGGACGAAAGGTAGAACAAAGTAAAGATTTCAAAGTGGGTGAGACTGTCCAGTGCTGCAGATGTCCGAGCTAATTTTGGTTTTACCAACTTTATTGTGCCTAATCAAATTTTAGGTAAATCTGGGCTAATTTGCAGAGACATTATTTGAATAAAGGTAGATATATGGAGCAGTAGAGGGCAAAAGTAATAGATGAATTTCTTTTTAAAAAAATGTTTGAGGGCATATTCAGCAAGGTTTAGCAAACTCTGGAGATGTAGTGCACTGCTTTAATGTGTAACTTTATAGATATTGCGTCATAAAATAGAAAAAAAAACATTTGAACCCTTACCACAAAACTGATAAGTTCCCAAATGAACAGTAAACAACCTCAGGGAAAAAAGTCAACTGAAGGTAAAAAGAAAGATTTGGGTTTTGCCAGAATTTAGCTACTCTTGCGGATAAAAAAAGGCAAAATTTTATTCCTAAAAAAAGTGTTGAGAGAAAATAGATCATTTTTATACTGTTTGAAAAGCACCTCAAAATCCACATTACCTGGAATAAGCTTAAGTTTTTAACCTATCCTTTTGAATACGAGTCATTGAGTACGCTCATCTTATTGTGTGTTTTGTCCATTCATTTTTGCACGGAAGAGATATCTACCGAACATAAGAAGAACCTGTGAATTTCCTTATAGCTTTTATTATAAGAACGTGTATAAATCACTACACAGATAAAATAAACAAAAAAAATTATTTATGAAATACCATCAGCTGTCTACACACACAGACACACACACACACACATTCAAATTGGCCACCCACCCATCCACCCATGTAGCATACCGCGTGAATGAAACCCTGACAAGTGTTGAGCACACACACACACACACACACACACACACACACACACACACACACACACACAGACACAGACACACACACACACACACACACAAAACTAATTAGGCATGGACCCACCTCCTCCTCTGAGTGCACCAGTCTGGAGGTGACTCCTGTAGTGTAGATGCTGCCGTTGCCATCCTCGTGGATTTTGATGTTGGACTTTCTGCTGCGACTCTCTGGATCTCTGGCTCCGTCAAACAAGTCCAAGATCTCCTCGTTGTACAACTACAACACACACACACACACACACACACACACACACACACACACACACACACACACACACACACACACACACACGTCATCACTCTACAGTCATTATGAATGTTTATTACACGGTTGATATGCTGTCAATAATACACAACATAGAAATTTAACAGTTAATCCGAAGATCATTAGCTTCTAAAGACTTTTTGCTCTCATTTGCTTTAATAAAATCATCTTCTGTGTGAAACACAGATCTGCTGCAGACCCAGCAGGTGGAATAATGATCTCTCTGAAAACAGCGAAGGCTTGGGTCACAGAGGTCAGCTGAGAGCTCAGCTGTTCCCAACTAATGCCAAACACACACACACACACACACACACACACACACACGCGCGCGCGCGCGCGCGCACACACACATCTGTTTATCATCAACAAAGATAAACTTCTGACCTAAAAAGGCCCTAGAAAAAAAACACTACTAATGACAAAAAATCTAGATACAAAGCCTATTTGTTTTCATTCTTAACATTTCTTTCACTGTGATTTAGATAATCAGATGACAGCGTACCTACAATAGCACACTCCCTAATAAAGCTTAAAAATCTAAAAATCCTCAGGGGAAATGATTACTGGTCATATATCTCAGTTCTCCTAACACAAGCATCCCTCCCTCCCTCCGATTCTTCGCTCTTATCCGTTTTCTAGCCCTCAGTGATGAGGAATAATGTCAGAGGTAATGGCAAACATTAATCAGGATCAACAAAGCACGGGCAGACGCTGCAGCCCATCTGTCTTCGGCCTGTCACTTCCTGTTAGTGGAATGAGAGTTTGATCCTGTTGTCTCCTCTATTCTGTCCCATCTGCTTAGAGTTAATGTGGACCAACATCCAGCGCGCACACACACACACAAACACACACACTCACACTTAAACTGGCAGGCAAAATATATTTAACTGCATAGTTTAAATATTGGATTAAGTAATAATTAGTAGCCCACCTCCAGGAACTGGGCGCTGACTTTAAACTCGGGCGGCTGAATGCGGGCCTCCTGGGCACTGAGCCTCCGGGTCTGAATCCCCTCAAATAGCTGGTGAACAGCCCGTGGGATGATGCCTTGTTCCAGTGGGCTCAGGGTCACGTCAAAACCGGTCCCCATGGTGTAGGTCTTCCCTGAGCCGGTCTTAAACGAAATCCATCAACAAGAAGAATTTACTCACATTCAAAACATCGAGGCTGGTTTCTTGCACCATGTATGGCAGGGCTATTCAACTGGCGGCCCGCAGGCCAGATGAGTGACCAAAGTTCGGCCCGCCAATTGTTTCATTCATCTCTTAAGCCCAAACCCCCCGTTTTCTACTTTGATTACTCTAAGTTATTTTAGTTAGACATAGACATGTTTGGTGTCTACAGAAACGTCAGAATCTTGGCTACAAGCTAGTAAAAACTATTTCTATGCACACTCAAGACAGTTAAAACTACAAGCAGTTGAAGATAAAATGATGAAAGTAAAAATAAAATTGATTTAAAAATTTGGCAAGACATGTTAAAATATTATTTCTGTCAAATAGGAGGCATAATGTGTTCTTTTTGTTTTTGATAATGTTTATTTATCACTACTTTTATAAGGTTCTGTATGTTGTATTCATGATTAAATGCAGCAAAATAAACTAATTCAAAGGTAACAGATCTTTGTAATACTTGCTTTATTTACATAATGACTTTAATTGCTGGATGTTCGGCCCCTCAACTGTTGACCGACAGTAACTGTGGCCCCTGGAGTAATTTAGTTTAATAGCCCTGATGTATGGTTTCTGAAGGTCAAATCATTACATTTTAATATCTCAGTAGGGATGTGTGGGGTTTTCTTTTCGCAGGCTTAAATGTGCATGTCTATGACACTTGTAATACTCCATGTGTCTTCAGCTGTGACTGACACGCACAGAAGCTAAATTGTAAATTAGTAAACTATGTGAACATCTGCAAAGCTTTGCTTTCATACCTGCCCGTAAGCAAACACAGTGGCATTGTAGCCCTCAAAGCAGCCCTCGATGAGCTTGTGCACACAGGTCTGGTGGATGTGCTGCTGTTCGGAGTCTATGTCGAACACGAAATCATACGTGAAGGCCTTGTCCTTCCCCAGGAGGACCTGTGGCTCTCCCGGTGTGACCAGTGTGCAGACATGGCAGCCCTCTATCTTCTCCTTGGCCATCTGAGGACGAATCCTGAGAGACACAAACGTGCAGAATTAGCTCCTTCACACAAACTCAGCCTCATCATGGTGAGCATCGTCATTAAACCATGACCATCTGTAAATAACAAGCTGTAAACAAAAAACACGCGCAACAGATAACATTTGGACAAATTCAAAAAGTTTCATTTAGGCCTTAAAAAATAAATCACCATATGCATAATAGGCATAGCAAATATTTCTTCTTCTATGATAAAAACAATTAGAACAGTTTTGTTTAAAAAAGGGATCACATAGTTAATTATATTTAATATGAAAGTTACAGAGTACAACAGACTATAGAATTAATGAAGCCAAAAAAATATGAAACTGAAGCATAAACATCTCCAGTCTCTTCTACAAACATCTTATTGTCTCTTTACATCCAACCATCTGGTGAGCAGCCAAGCTTAGAAATCACTTTGAGTAAGTGGGCATAATGTACTGCTAAATGTTTATATCTTATCTACTGACTTGTATATTGCTTTCTACTCATTTGTTTTTACTGTGGATAAAAAATAAATATAAAATTATCAAAACGACAAAAAATGTCTTTGAAAAAAAAAAACATAATAGTGGTGTGGAGAGGATGGCTATAGGGGGAGAAGGGAGGCCATCAATAAAAAAAATGTCTTTGAGAAACCGTAACTTTCAAATGAAAAACATTTCGTTCTACTTTGTTTTTCTTTCTACCTCAATGTTTTATGCCGTTAGAGTACACCTAAAGTACATAGGCAAACTGCAACTACAGTAAAATTCTTAATCAAACATCTCTGGTGATCAAATATAAGAAAAATGCTCCAAGAAAGTTGAACAAAGACCAAAAAACAACCATTTCATCCAGTTTATCTTACACTCAATCTGAATTTTCAGCTCCAACTTATTTTAAAAACAGAACAGTAACAATGTGCCCAGCCCTCATTTATATTGAACAGAATTAACAAAAAAAAAAAGATGACAGACAAGTCTCTCATGTGTTTGAATGGTTTATTAGCCTCCCTTAGAGTAATAAAAAGATTCATGTTCTACTGTATACATATATGCACTCGTTCAGTTATTATGGTTGCAGCTGTAATAACTGTGATTTACCTCCTGGAGCAATAAAGCATTCTGATTCTGATTTTCACCATGAGCACATTTATGTGTAAAAAAAATAAAATTTCCTTTTTAAAATGATCTCCTTTTATTAATGAATGTTGTGATTTCAGCCTGTGGTAAGAATGTAATGCCTTTCAAAAAAAATGGCATAGAAAGCAAGATAAGGAGATAAAAAGATAAAGATAATGACGCACAATAAAAATTAATTCTCATAGTGAAACTATTTTAGACAAAATAATAAAAAAGACAACTGGGACGAACTTGCATTTTGGTGCATAAACAATGACAAGAATAAAAGTCTCATAAGTCATGATTCCAGCTGAGGTTAATCCCTCTTCTCAGGACTTTGAGTTCTGCTTGGTTTTTCATTCAAACAGGAAGTTCACTGCAGTTAATTGCTTTCACCTGATGTCCCAGTCGCAAAATAATCTCTTGTAATACAAGCACAAAACCAAAGCTCAGGAACATCTTTCAACTCACGGACAAATGAATATTAGAGTATTTGAGATAATTTTAAATTACATGAAAGCACAATGCTGGACATTCTGACAGGCAGGAGAGAACTGATTAAGTCAGATGGTAGTAGGTGTACAAGCTTGTGCTGCAGGGTTAATTAGCTGAGATAAAACATAACAGGGGAATGTTGCTCTCAGATATAGGAATGCACATAAAAATAAATGTCTGTCAAATTGCATTTGGGGCTCTTGGAGGTACGGCGTGGACACGGTGAGGAGTAATCACTTTAAAATGCAGGGGAAAGTCTTCAGTTAGCATTTATCAAAACATTGGGTTGACCACTCCACATTCTAAAAATCCACAGTTTAATCTTCACTGGATGCAAATCAACTTCCCACACACAAACACACACACCACGACTACACCAGAGAGTCCCTGTGGGATGCTGCAGCCACACACAGCTGTCGAAGGACACAGAGCAAACCACAAAGACGTCCGTGTAGCAACTCTGGAAACAAATGCTGCACACAACCAGTTTTAAAGAAACTACTGTATTATCTTCAGTTCACACATGGTTTCTCTCAAGCCTGCATTTAGTACCACACCCACCACTAACACACTCAGTTAATCCCTTCACCACAAGTCTTTGCTGTGCTACAGAAACACACACACACACACACACACACACACACACACACACATTTCCTGGTCCTCCTTCAGACACAGAGGCATCACCGAGGAGAGTTTTATAGGAAAAGATTAAATACATTAGAATAGTGTGATTCAGCAGCCGAGTGCTAACCCAGACAACCCTATCAAAAGGAGTGCGGCTTTAAAAGCAGCTTGCAGACTGATGAGGTTTTTTTTTCCTCTCCTTTTATTACTGCGTGTGACCTTGACACAGAGGTTAATGTATCTAAAAGTGCTGCTTAAGTCAATTATAAACGTAAAGTGGATGTGGTGAAATGAGCAGTACATTGGCTTCGTACAATAGGCTTAACTACAGCAAGACTCTGTGTGTATGTGTGTTTATGTTTTTGTTACCTGGTAGGGGTGATCTTTGACCATTTTTCTGGCACAGCGTTGTGAGGGCCCACTGTTGGTTTTAGGGGACAAAAGCTCGGTCCCCATGAGTTTAAAAGGCTGGTTTTGGGTCGGGGTTCGGGTTAGGACTAAAGTGTGAACTGAGTTTAGGTTAGGTTTAGGGCAGTGTTTCCCAAAGTTGGGGTCGGGAACCAAAGTGGGGTCCAGAAACATTAAGGTGGGGTGCTGAAAAGATTTTCTGAATTAATTACATTTTTGTCTTAGTTGTTACAAATGAGTGAGGTTAGTATGTTTAAAGTTGATAAATGTAGTATAAAAAATATTGTTACTATGCTCATGGTTAGTTGACCTGATACAAATGTTTATCATCCAAAAATAGCTTGGGGCCACAGGTCTCTGCTACTGTTATTTTGTGGGTCAAAAACTGAAAAGTTTGGGAAAGTTGGGCTTGGGACCCAATTATGGGTCATGAAGCACCTTGGATAATCTCCAGAAATTAATTTAAAGGGTAATAAAATAATTGCTGATGTAATATTTTCCCTATAACTATTAATTTGTGTATAAGCTGTTTAGATTGTCAAAAAGTCTGTGTTTTTAGAGCTATCAACAAAGTTTGTGTTCTCAGACCAGTACTATTTGGGGTCACAAGTTTTTGCCATGAATATTTTGTGGGTCAGAAGACAAAAAGTTTGGGAACCACTGGTTTAGGGTACGTGGTTAGGGTTGGGCTATAGAAGTGACTGGTAAAAATAATAGAAGTCAATTCATTCTATAAAGATAGAAGAACAAACAATATTAGAATTGGTTTTATGCCCCTTTCCTTGCAAAAATAAAAATATTAAAAAGGCTACATAAAATTTGAATCACATCAGTGTTAAATTTTGATATTCTCCAAGTATTTTAGTGTGAGGAGCACAGAAATGGGAAATGAAAGACAAAAAGCCACAGTTGCAACTTATTTAAAGGCAAATAGTCAAGTCAGATGTAAAGAGATGCAACATGTTTGGATATAATAAAAACAAAATACTGCAGCAGTCTAACCACATAGCAAAATTTGCCTGGCCCAGTTTGTTCTGATGGCCCAGATAAAACTAAGAATGACGGTGCCCCAGAGATGTGGTTTGTCAGCGGTGGTCCATGCATGGGCCAGCACCACATACATGAAACCACAACTGGGCCAATTGTGGCATGTTATCCTAACAGTGTCATTATTGCCAGAACTGGCCCACATCCAGCTGACAAACCACTTGCCATGCCAGCAGGGTCGGCTTGACACCAGATCTGTTCCACACTTGTCTGTGGGAAGTTTTGTCCAAAAGAGACAGTGGGGCCTTGAAGGATTAGAGAAACTCTCAAGTAAATGAAATATTCAACAAAAGAGATGCTCATAAAGTAACTTTTGGTAACCCTAACACCATAATCTACAAACTCATAAAGTTATTATTCAGAGCCAGCTGTCAAACTGGTAGAGTTACATGTTCTTATTTGACAATGACTAACAATATTGTATGCTGCTGAATCACGTTGAGGATTTTATGTGCTGATTATTAAATACGGTACTAAAAAAGAAAAAGGCTCGGAAACTGCTGATGTTGGTCACCATGGTAACACTTACAGTGAGCCCTAAAATTTTTTTTTTTTGGGGGGGGGATGGATTAATTTAAATTACTTGTTTTTTCAGGAAATTTGCCTTCCATTCAATGTGAAGGTTTATTAATGCAAGCCAACACTGCATCCCAAACACATAATGGGAAATGACCGAGATGGGTTAGAGGTTGCAGATGATTTATGAGTTATTTATTTAAAAAGGGATAATATACATTAATCAACCTACAAACACAATAATGCAAACGTAGATTGAGTTAGCTAAAAACGCTCATTTTTATTCGGAGTCGTTTTGACAGGGAGTGTAAAAGGCTCAGGCCTCCTGTGCAGAAGAGATCTGTAATCTTAAAGGGATTTGCCTGGTTAAATAAAAAGTAATAAACAAATAAGGGGTACACAAAGTAAGCAGTTTTATTTTCTAGTTATGCTGAAGTCTTAAAAAGTGAAAAATGTGCTTCTTGTTGAGAAGGCTCCGAATAATTGTGCTCACTTTTCATTTCATTATCGCTTGGAAAAGCCAGAAAAGCAGAAGCCATTCAATGTGACCAATGAATATTCAAACCTAACACACACACACACACACACACACACACACACACACAC